CAGGGCATTTGTAATCCATTCATCTTCTCATTTGAGACTTACATGAAATGGGCTCAAATCCCTTATCCTATATTTGATGATAATTCCCATTTAGTGACCCAGGAATTTTATGAATTCTAAGGGGCTTATGTTCCCATGGTCGCCTCTTGTTTTGGTCTTGTTTTGCTGCTAAATCTCTGTGTCACTCATAGCTTACCTCCTCTGGAAGTTCTCTTCTCTCTTCCCAGCCCTTCTTCCTTGATATCCCCTAAAGACTTCCCACACAAGGCACACGGATATTTGGGTGCATGACAGATATTGCAGTAGGTTTGGGGTGATGAGGTTGTAGAGCAGCATCCTCACCACTGGAAATTTCTTTGGCCTAAATTTCTTTGCAGATCCTCCTTCTGGTGTTTGAAATTCCAAAGTAATATAGGCTCATTATAACAATTTAAGAATTCAGAAATGTATAAAGAAAAAAAAAATGCCTTCTATCTCTTTCTTATTCCACTCTTTGATGTAATCAGTGTTAATAGTATGAAACTTTTCTTATTTTTCTATGCTTAAATAAACTTATACAGAATATAAATACACACTTACAGCATTTTTTTTCCTTGTTAAAAACAAAAAAAGAAAAGCTGTTCATTTTCTTAAGGAGAACAGTTTAATTTGCTTTCTGTCTCTCTCTATTTCTCTTTTTGCCATTGAATCTTTCTAAACTATGCCCTGGAACCTCTACTTTTATAGTCAAAAGGACTCTCAACTCAACAACAGCAACCACAAAAATAAAATAAATTTATTTAAAAAAAAATGGGCTGTCAAGATATCTTGCTAAACAAAGGACCATGAAGAAATTATGCTACTTCTCTCTGAAGAGAAGTGGATGTTGTCGTTTCTGCTTTTTAAATAGGATGTTTCCCTCCTCCGTTATATACTTATAATCTGTAACATACCATTTAGCACTTGCTTATTATACATCCTGTTTCACATCCCCTGGTTTTGAATCCTTAAATTAACTAGATCAAATGTCTAGATAAGTGTCATACGTTACTTGATTTCCAATCAAAATCTAGCTTATAGCAAGCCAGTACTCAATAATCAAAGCACGTTTTGTCCTTTTAGCTCTATAATTTATGGGAGCTGCCTGAATTTGGAAACTTTTAATGGAAGTGCCTTTTTAATGACGTACACTTTCCGAAGTGAGTCATGCCTGAAGCCCTTCCTCTCAAAAGTGGTGATATTGCAGGCATCCCTGAAGAATTAAGAAAAGACACTGCTATCATGAATGCCCATGATCTCATGTAGGGGAAAAGAAAAATGAAGCAGGAAGGGGGAATGGTACATACGGGTGGCCACCTTGGCAGTGATGGGAAGGCTGAGGATGTTGCTAATGACAGCGTAGACGCTGATGTTGTAGGTGAGACCTGGCTCCAGCTCTGTGATGGTGACACCACTCCAATCTCCAGGCACCCGCTGCTGGAGCTGGAGGCCCCCCCGGGTCATCGGCTGGTAAGAGATCACATATTCCGTCACTGCCATCGGCCCGTCCCATTCCAGCTCAATGGACCTGTCGCTGATACCAGCCACTCGCAAGTCCTCTGGAGGGGCAACTACCGGGAGGCAATACACAGACAGCATGAGCTCAGAGGATTGCTTTCCCCATCCTGGACTCAATTTTGCTTCTGCACATCTCACCCCACATGCCATGTCTATGTTTCCGCTGGGCTCAATGGCCTTGAGCGATTAGTAAGTCTCTTTGTGGGCAGGTTCTTGTCTTTCCCCCATCTCCATGGGGCCATAAGCTAGCGGTGTGCTGGAGCCAGCTCCTACGGGCTCGTGAAAGCTGAATGTTCAATTTTCAGGGATTTTGCAAGATCGTTGTTAAACAGCCATTATTAAAGATTAAATTATATAAACTTATAATTAAGTAAATTATATTAAAAACAAAGAAAATAAATATTCAGAACTCATCATTTCCAAATTAGTTGACTACATTTTAATATTATCTATGCGGTGAAGGTAATTTGGGGCCCTGG